TGTCGCTGTCCGCTGTAGCTCAGTATGAAGGATATTTAATTAGATATTTACATATCTCAATCTTTGTTTGTCTTGGACGTTTCCCTAAGGAAGCTGAAGCTTTCTTTGTGTTGGTAGAATCTCTCACTATACTACCTTGCAATGTGCAGTGTCATACACAATGACACTAGAGTCCATCAGTCTCCTTCATCTTTCCATGTTCTCTTTAACACTAGGACTGTCCTTAAATATTTTGATTTAGGGCAGAAATTCAGGATTGCTAATAGAGATGACATAGATTAAATGGGATTACTACTCATTCTTTGCTTGGTAGCTGAGATGAGAAATGCTTGAATATCAAGATATTAATTTGCAGCAGCTAAAATGGCAGGGTTCTCTAGTGATTCAGCAAAAGCATAAGAGACCTGAAACTGACATTCTCTGGAGACAGTTTTTATCTCTAGAGACCAGAGATTCACAGTTATTTTAATAACTTAAATTGTGGGAGTGCAGAATATGCACTGTCTATAGTCTGGGTAGTGATGGTGGTAGTCAAGACTGATCTCAAGAATTGTTCCCTAGGTTTGATGTAGATACAAAGTCCCATAAATGGTGAAATGCAATTGATTCAAGTTTTATGGAAGATAAAATCAGAATAAGATCACAGAAGTTGTTTGTGACATTAGAAAAGGCAGACTGAGAAAATTGAGTGAAATGGGGAACACCCTGGGTAGAGTTATTGTCTGGAAAATAAAGAATGAAAAAGTGTGATGTGGCTTCAAAGCTAATCATATTTAAACACGTTGGCTTGAAGCCATAGGGTTCAAAATCAAAGACAGACATGCAGACAGCTCTAAAGGGCAGGGTGAAACTCATATTTGACCCTTTTGTGCTTTTGTGTTGTTCTTTGAGTGGAGGAGTGGCATTTTTTTTCCTTATGGGTTTAATGTTTTAATGTAAAGGCAAACTGTTGGTTGGACTACATTCTCTTACTTCCCAAAACCCTCTCTAAAATATTCAGCTGGGTGTAACTGAGGTCAGATTGTATCAGTGAAGACATGAATATGCTTCACTCTTAACGTGTTTTTCCCCAGAAATAATTGTTTTGGCTCAGAATGGGTTAGAGAAGCACCAAAATGAGTATTACTTATAATTTGATTGATTGATTGATTGATTACACACCATCAGATCAGTGTCAACCGTTAGCGACGGGATAGATTTTTCTCCAGGACACCTGTTCTCAGCCTGGTCCTGCTTATAACTTAGATGTGTGTAACAGAAGTTACGCCTTATCCCTGTAAAATCCTTCTTTCTAATCTCCATTATGGGAAGTCTGCAACTAGTTGCACATCACAAAATGTACAAGTAGTTGATTGAAATTTTTAAATAATCCTCTTCAAAGATGAATTGAAAAAGAAAATCCCTTTTTTAATAGGTGGAGTGGAGGGAACAATGTATTTTAAAAGTGGATTTTAAACATACAGACAGTGTGGCATATGGGGATATTTAACAGATACATATATGTACATATACATGTATCCTTAACATGCACTGATTACATCAATAAACTCCATCCACCTGTGGTCCTCGAGTCAGAAAGGGTTGAACATTCTTGATATAAAATCCTGAAAAGCCATTCAAGCTTTGGAAAACTTCAGATACAAAAAAGCAAATTTGGAAGAGTATCGACAAATGGAAGAGCAGAAACTAGAGGAGGAGGAGATTCTATAATGTGTGAAGCAGCAATGCTGAGGGAAAACCATTAGGTTGTAAGTCTCAATGCTCAAAAGCAAATTTATCACATAAAGGCTTACTGAAGTATGTAAAGCCATTTCTTTGTCAAAGTTAGAATCAAAGACATGCATAGCTAAAATCCAAATCATGATATGAAGATATCTTGAACTGCATCTAAAACTTATTAAGATATTTCCTGATTTACGGGATCTTGCTAGGTAAAGTAAGTAAATCATTGTAAAACACGGGGAAATGGTTTGTTTCAATTTGCTCATTATATTGAGCTAGAATGGGGATTACAAAAACGTTACTTGTGTTTACCTCTCCAAACACACTAAGTTTTTATGTCTCCAGCAGAAATTTAGAAAATGGTGATGCAGCAATTTTGCTACAACAAGGGCATAACACATCAAGCTGAGACCATTATCCTGGACTATAAATTGAATAAACGATGAGGATTGCATGACATTGACCTAGAGGAAGGATGGGGAAGAATGAATCCATTGTTCGCCCACCAATCTGTACCTTCAGCAATGGAAAGAAAGCAAAATGAAGAAGTAGGGCATGCTGCTAAAGCTGGACTTAGTCAGGCTGAAGAGGGATTGTCAAGCTGCTGTTTCCGTGTGCTTTTGAAGGGCTTGAAAGCACTTCCTGGGGAAGGTTACAGCCAAAGGAGGTCACTGGATGCCCATTTGGATCATCCCCTTGCCAGCAGCAGTCCAGGACAATAAGAGGAACTTGCTAAGCAACCATCCGTTGGAACACACTGTTCATTGGCCTGTTTAGCAAATCCCTTCCCCACTCCCACAGTCATGCTGAAAAGATTGGATAAGGGTAGAAGATAATGTATTGGGGAAGTAGGGTTAATAATGAACCACATATCTGAAAGGCTATCCACACTCTTGGACCAGTCTCAAAATCCAGCTTTCCAGCATAGCAGTGATTAAACCACAAACACTAAAACTACCATTCCAGCCCTTGCTGCATGGCTCCTTTTCTGTTTCAAGTGTCACAGTGTTATGCACTGGTGATGTGTTCTTGACACATCTGTGCTGACTTTTAGTAAACATAGCATTGTTTTCATAGTATGGACAGTCCAATTACTTTATAATCTGTTGTAAAATTCTCTCTGAATCAATGGGATGTTAACTGGCCTAGAATTCCCCAGGACTTTTTTCCCATTTTTCAAAATGGGGACAGCCTGTTAGGATTTCTCAAAAATAATGCAGTGAGTTCTGTCATTGTCTTAGGATACAGCCTATCTGGCCTGGACATATGAACTTATTTACGGTCATTAATTATTTCTTAACCATGTTTCTGTCACAATCAAGTTGGAATTCCATTCTTTCAACCAACTCTTCAGTAATCAAGAACATTCCAGACAAAAACTGCTAAAGTTAGCTGTATAGCAGATGAGTTATATGATCAATAGACTGGGACAGCAAAGGCATTTAATTTTTCTATGAAAGCCAAAAATTGCATATGGAATCCAACTTGACAATCTACCTAGGACTTGTTTGCTTTAAAAATTCTTTAGGTACAGAAGATATAAGTGAAGTGTGGCTCTTAAATCATCACTGATGGTTTGACTTAACTCTATGAGGACTTTATTTGCCAGACATAAAACCAAACAAAACTAGAAATCTGTCTTTCCTTTCTGATGAACAGAGCATGTAAGCTACATGACAGGTCTTATCTCAGTATAAGAATTCCAGAACTTCAGTTGAGAACACGCTGTCTCAGTCTGATACCTAGTGTAGTCACCGATAGCACCACCTCTTCCTTGAGAGGTGAAGTGGCAGTGTTACTAGTGAAAAAAAATTCTACCTCACCACAAAAAATAATAGGTAATCTGTAAAAAGTGTGAAATGTATCAAACAACATTTAAATTACTATGAGTCCAAATTTGACTGACTTCTGTTGCTGTCAGATCTAAATTACTAAGAATTGCTGTGTTGACAATCAGGTTTTTTGATTTCTTGTTTCACTGTGTTTCTGTTAGGATGATACCAAATGTTCATATGTTCTAATCTTTTGGATCAGTATTTGTAACTTCAGTGGAATAAAAATCTCTCCTAAAGAGCTCTCCTAAAGAGTAGAAACAGGATTCACACATACATTAAGCCATACGGTATTAAAGTATTCATTATTGTATACAGAGTTTGCATTACAGCTGAGACATAAACTTGTTTATAAACCATAAGTGCTATATTCATATGACATGGTAAACTAAAATCAGATGAGTCACACTGCATCTTATCATTGTTGTGATAGCCTAGCCATTAGGCCTTTTCCCCATTCCCAAAAAAAATCCTGGTTTTATTATTTTATTACCTTTATTTTCTTGAATTATACTATTTCACTTTTTTGCCTTGTTATTTAGAAGCCAGTTAAGGGTTTATGCAAGGTTTTGCCATCCTTAGTAAGGAATCAAAGAAATATTATAGCAAGAAGGGGCCCTTTTGGTTGGTTTGGGGATATCTGCTTTGAAAAAATCCCTCTTATTTATACATTAAAATAAGTGTGATAATAAGTTTAGTTATAAAGAATGCAGAGCCTATTTTGTTATATTGCTTTTTTGTTTGATTTGTTTATTTAGCATTATTTATACACAATTACAAGTACTTTATTCCTTTTTAGATTTTATTATTTTTTAAAATGAGTCTTTATGAGACCATGAAGACAATCTACCCTCTTCCTTTACTCATTGGCAACCCCCCTCCCTCTTTAGCTTCATTGTGCCTTAGATGCTTCATGAAAGTTTGAGAATGATGGGTCAGGAGTAACCTTGGTCTGCTATATCTTAGGAAAAATGGATCCATAACAAACACCATTTTGTGGCGAGGCACTTAACATTTTCTGAGATATTTTTCTTTCTCTTCATAGTACAAATGGTACATTATGTTTTGTGTCTTTAGCTAAATTGTCTCTGTGGTTCAGACATGCATGGGTTTTGATTTGAAATGAATGCATTATTAAATACTTTTGTCAATTTGTACAACCAAGCATTTGAAGGGTAATGATGGGTTTGTCTCCTCAGAAACCTATTTGGCAGCAAGGAATTGTCTCCTCAGAAACAGAAGCAAACCTTTTATGATCTCCACATAAGGATGCCTCCATATGAGGACATTTCCACATGAGCATTTTTCCAACTATTGTAGTTGGCCTACTCCTCACATGAAGTTTGGCCAGAGGTCATATTCCACAAATTGATCTATAGGAGCTTTTTCTGAGGCTGGCAAACTGATAGCTTTTCTTTGTTTTAACCCATTTCTTATCTCCGGTAGATAATGAAGAACACCCTGAAGGATCTGTTGTGGAGAACTTTGTAGATGGTGCCACTGGTGTGATGATTGGAACAGGACGGCTAAAGCCCCCTGTGAAAAATGGCAAGGAATTGGCCATACTTCGTGAGAAAACAAATGAGCAGCAAAAGCTGATGGGCAAGCATCCCAAGCCTGAGATACGTCTGCCACCTCTTAGGGTGAGTTGATAAATGCTAGTGTGAAATCAATAATGATTATGAGGTAGTTTCAGTGATCTACTGGTTCCATTTAAGATACTAAACTTCTCTGAGTGGCACTGTACAAGATTTGACTGAAGGTTTTTCTAGAATTCTGTCTCAGGGAATCCGTCTCTAGTTTGGGGATGCTTGAATTAAAGGAATATGCATACATACATACATACATACATACATACATACATACAATTTTAATTACAATAGTAAAACCTAATACAAACTAAAAGAAAGAAAGAATAAAAAGAAAGAGTAAAAGGTGCAAAGGAAAAGGAAAAAATGTAGAAAATAGAAAGAAAAAAAGAAAAGAATATAGTAAAGAAAATATGTAAAGAAGTGACTTCCAACCTTCATCACAAGTATAAAAATTTTAGTAACTCTTTACCCCATCTTAGTTTACAACCAATGATCTCTTCATCCCGTATCTCATCTTTTATCTATAGACAAATCCATAAAGCATCGTCTTTTCAGTCCTGGTATCAGTAGAAAGTCCATTAAGGTTTCCCAGAAATAACAACACATTTTATTTTCACCTTGATCAAATAAACCAACGTTATGTTCCTTCCTTTTCCTTCTAACAATCTTAAGCTTTAGTCCATTCAAATAAGATCATAGAATTTGATTTCTTTTAATTTGTTCTTTGTCACTTCTCACAAAATTCTTCAAAGCTTTAGCAAGCCTCTTTTGTAAACCTAATATAAAAAAAATTATCCAGGTCACTCTCTTGGTTTATTATTTGTATTTCCCTTTTGATTTTTGACATATTAACTGGTTTCTTTTGTACCAATAGTAGAGGATATATGTAGCTCAGGGTTGATATTAAAGCATTCTTGGGATTAGGCTAAAAAGTAGTTTGGTTGGCAATGGCATATGAAGATGTGGTGTTAAATTGGGTGGATAAAATGGTAACCAACTTCCATGTTGTGCAATCACCCTACCTATTTCACAGAATTTTACTGGGTAGGCAGAGGATTAGGTGATTTTAGTCTTTTCTTAGGCTGTAAAGACCTGGCTGTTCCCCAAAGCATTGGGTTAGAATGGGAGTGAGCCCAGCAAAGGTGGAGTTGATGAAATGTTATGGTAATATTGTGGGAAGTGTGATGTTCCCTTGTGTGAGATTATTGTTTTACCTTTTGTTTTTGTTGGCTGTTGTGAGCCACCTAGGATTATTGTGTGCATGATAGGCTGCTATATATAAATTATTTAAATAAATTAAATAAATAAATTAGATAAAATGTTGACATTCATTTGTAGCCCACGTTTTGGCCTATTCACAAGCATGCATTAATATCACTGGTGCCACATCAAAACTAAACAGTGACTTAATAATTGTTCCCACTTTGATCATCTTTTTCTTTTAATCATATAAAATTTGTTAGTGAAGAAAAACAACATATTGCATTGTATCATTCAGCTGGTAACAACAGGAGTTTTCACTTAGGAGCATGTTAATCTTTAACGGAACTGCCACAAGAGGTTTAGGGGCAGATCAGTGAAGACAGACACATTCACATAAGTGGCAAAATGTGGATTATGGACCTCTAGAATTTATGTGGACCCACATAATGCCTACTGGTCACTGGGATTTTTGCAGAAAATGATGAATTAAGTGGATGCTGTCAGGTGGCTTAGGTGGATGCTAATCCAGCAAGGCACTTCTGTTTTTGATTATGTACTTATTCTTTTACTGTTAAAGAGATTATAT